AAGAACACCGCCTTGCTCCTCACATCATAGAGGTAAAAGACACATTCTATCACAGTAGTGCAACTTATTAAACAATCACAATACCCGAACGGGATGGGGAAGGAGGCGGGGGAAAAAGGCAAACTGGGATCTTCCAAGGTTCAAGTTTTCTAACTCATTCATTAAGCTTATTGCACACAAGCTATAATTACCCAACAGGTTTTGAGTCGGTAACAATCAGAAAAGCATTGAAGAGCATAACAAGATGGGATAAAGTGAACAAAGTCACTACCACCTAATGGGCTAAGAATCAAAATTATGCACATAAGAGACCTTCAGATACTGGTTACTACTTGGGGCAATAAGCAACATACAGTCAGTGTCACAATGGCTAATGGTTCACATCTTTCTTGATATGAGAATATTATCTAAATAATATCTAAAAATATAGGAGAAAATTCACTGGCATTTTATTAAATTAAAGAAAATGGAACAGCTGACTAGCATAGAAGACAGTAGGGAATACATCAATCTTTGATCCTACACAATGGACTATAATGAAACAATATAATTGTTGAGATTGGACATGTCAAAATAAGTGATTACAAATCATATGTAAATAATACCTGACTAGAAAGTTTCCTTTCCCTGCCTATTAAATATAGTGTCGCAAGTAACAAACATATTCCATGTCCCCAATCACCAAACATGACAGCAAAAAGAAATGGGAATGTCACGATAGTATATACAGCAGGATTTGCTTCTTGATACTTAGCTACCCTGCAATGGAATTGAAACAAAACATTTTGGAATCTTGTGTATATTTCTGTCAGAAACAATAAAATAACATTGCAATTTGTGCTTTCAAATTCTAAAATTCGTATCAGTGCAATGTAGGGGTTGCTTTCTTACTAAAGTCACTAATGTTGCACTTCAAACGCCTTCATTAATTGCTACATTAGATGGAACATTAAGAATTAAAGCAGGAGATGATTCAGGGACACTATAATCTTTGATTGTTACCCCATATTACCTGGCAAAACAAGCTATTATCTAGCTCACATGATAATGGTAAGGAAGTACTAGAGATGGCAGAGTAAATCAATCACAATAACTACACAAAGTGGATAAATAATTTCAGTATATACCCCCACACCTTACTAGGGAAAGTCCAGAATGACAGTGGTTAATAAATAAACTCATTAAATTTCTTATATTTAACCTCCTTGGGAAAAAAAAATTAGAATCTTAACTTTTGCAATTATCAATAAAGAAGCACCGAATAGCAAGATATTGCAGCGGAACTCACCCATATGCCTCAACAATTTCTTGAAAAGAAGAAGTGAATTTGTTTGTGCGGAAATAGGTAGGTGGTGCCTCCTGTGTGTGCAAAACCTGGAAAATAGCGCCAACTTGTGAGTTGGAGTCAAATGCTGCCCGCTGCAATGCATCCTGGATCTGCACAAATCAATTCAAACAAAGAAACCTCAATAACATATTTGGCTTGTATGTCATAGTTCAAACCTTTTAATTCAAACTGGGTGAAAGAGGACTCATCATACTGCAGAGAATTTTTTTGTAAGTAAAGGATACCTGTTTTGATGCAAAAATAGGACTCCACCCCTCAGCCACAAGACACTTTTTTGTTACATCAAGGCTAAGCATGTTAAGATGATGGTATATGGATTTCTCCTTCCTCACCTTCACAAGTA